TTTATAAAATTGCATATTTATAAAAAAAATATTAAAAATTCAAAAGTTTTGTTTTATCTAAAATTTTATTAAAAGATTATAATTATAATTAAAAATGTTTTATTTTTACTTTTTGGTATATCAACATTTTTGCACCAGATCATAATTATTATTAGTAAATAACCCGTATATAATTTATATAATATGCCACATGTGCTAAATAAAAAGAGCAAAAAAATTGTTTATATCATACCATAAGTGATCAGTTTAACTATATTGTTTGTGATTTGTTCTTTTTTTCCTTTATATAGTCAAAGCTCTGTATAACTGTGGATATCGGTTCAAGCTCAAAAAAATCGTTATTATGAGTGTTAAAGAGAAATTCGTTATACTAAATGCTTTTTATTATAGTCGGGAATTTTCAAAGTTCGTAATAACCAAATCTCATTATATAAGAGGATCTTTATATAGAGCTTTGACTGTATATGTGAGTGTGAAATTCTGATGATAGTGAACGGTTTTGCTGCTTGCATTTTTATATGATAGAAAAAACTAGTAATAAGTTTAGATCTTTATACTTGTGGTTGTTTATAGTATTTAAACAAATAATTGTTCTTGATGTTTATCCTTGAGCAATAAATTTGGTTGTTTAATATGTGCATATTTGATGTTTCTTCCTCTCTTGTCAACAATCTAAATCGGGTAACGCATCACTGGTCAAAAAGTACGTATTATTTTTACGTGATTAACATCAAGAATAATGAAAAATGCAACTTTATCATTTTTTATTATTGGTTTGCCTTGATGTTGCCAGGTAAAACAAATCTTTCCGACCAGTGTACAGTCAACCCGCTCTATAACGAACTGATGGTTCTGTTAGTAAAAAAAGTTCGATATATAGAATCATTATGTTTTTTTATAGAGCCCACTACTCTTTCTATAACGAACTAATATAAAATTTAAAATTTAAGGTTCGTTATATCCAGAGTTTGTTATAAAGAGGTTCGTTATAGAGAGTCGACTGTATGTATTTCTCGCATTGATTGTAGAATGATAGTTCATTCATACTGTTTACAATGAGCAATAAGTTAACTAAAGATGCATAATCAAAGTAGTTAATTTTGCAGTTATTTCTTTGTTTGCTTCTTTCATATCTTCTATTTACTGTGATGTATAGAAGATAAAGTAGTATGGCTTAAATATTGTTGATAAACACACGTTTATTGAATAGTTCAACAATTAATCACTCATGCACTATCATGTGAGATACATGCATAAAGTTTCTTGACTCAAGCTGTTTTAACGAATAATTAGTACTAATCACGATTGGCATTGTCTTTTATGAGATAAAGAAATAATACAGGTAATTTGTACGTAGTTTCCTATTCTTTCTTACATTAAAATAGAAAACCTATATTATCTATTCTTATTATATCAGTTAGTTTATTCCAAAAATAATTTTTATTACTGTATATAATTTTTCATTGTGTAGTACATTTATTGACTATGAAAAGGTTATTTTCAATCAGACACTTCAAATTTTTCCTGATAAAGAGCATCTCGTTCTTGTATCAGGATCCTTTTTTGTTTAGAAAGTTCGAGAACATAAATAAAGTTTTTCTAAATCGGAGAACAAACTACATGTGTTTAAAAAACAAGTTACAGATAAGCTAAAATTAAAGAATACCGATACAGTTGTTTCACAATAATGAATAACGATATTAGAACATGTATAACGATAATGTGAAACTGTTACATAATGTGATGCACGTGATAGTTAGTACGACATAATTTTGGCAAAATATTATTCTATCGCTATTAATAATTCATAGTATTTATTTTCATTGTCGTCATTTGCTTATAAATTACTTCTCATTATTTTCATTATTTAAATAACTTTGAAACTGGGTCGATTATTTTTTCAAATATTAATTACACCCACTACAACTACCTACCCAAAAATTTAAATATGCAATAAAGCTGCGTTTATAGTTTCTTAACTCAAATATACTCAAGAGTCGATATCTACTATCTACATAATTAGTTCAAGTATTATATCAAACTTTTTGAAAAAAATGAGCTCATTATCCACTACCACTACCGTCGCTGTCGCTAATTAACGGTGACAAGAATATGGCGAGTTGCAACATTCCCTAATGATAAATCGACAACCAAAATTATCACCAACACTATTACCAACACCGCCGCTGTAAGATGCGGGTATTGCGTCAAATGAAACGAAGAGACCGATTGCCATGATCAAAACAATCCCAACAAGTTTTTTAAAGGTAGTCATGATTATGTTTTTACTCGAGTTTCCTCTTGAAGATTTGGGAGCAAGCAAACATTTCTTTTAAACGGAGTTTGGGTCAAGTCTCAACCATCGATTCGAATGACGAGAAATGGGTTTTAGAAGAAACTCAAATGGCACCAAATCTGCAAAGATCAATTGCCTATATGTCTAAGAGTTTGCCTATTTTATTCTTGATTATTATTTCTAAAATTCCCTGATATTTAGTTTTCAATGCTTTCAATGTCGTGATTTGTGTTGGCCTTGTATATATTATGTTGTATACTTAGTATATACATGTATATTCAAGCAACAAAAGTTTCAGACAGAAATTTCCTTATAAAACGATTCAAGAGGAAACTCGAATAGAACCATAATCATGAATATCTTTAAAAAATTTGTTTGGATCACTTTGATCAGATCCCCGTTAATATTGAATTTATTAAATTCTATGCTGTATATATTTCATGTTAAAGTAAATAAATAAATGAAACTGTTGAATTTCCATTTTATACTAAGACTCTGTATTATACATGTACATGTATTCAAATAAACTTATTAGAAATTGATTTAATTTTTTGGTGAATCTGCCTAAATGGATCATATATAAATTTATTCATTTCGGATTAAACACAAATTATTTAATAGCGATAGCGATATATCGATATCGATATGTACATGTGTTTGTCCATCTTCGGATTAACGGGGAGGGGGGTAAATGCATAAAAACTATTTACGTATAACGATAATAAGATTCTTAGCTTAGCGTTAATATATACTGTATTCATACTGTCCATATCGATATGTTCTAATTGCTGTGTAGCTGTATACAAAATGTATAACGAATCTAATGTTAAGTGTAGAGTTTTTCTTTTTATGAATACGTAGGCTTATTCTTAAAAATGGTATAACGATAAATGTATTTTAATAATTCGAGATACATGTACATGTAATATGATAAATAGAAAGCTAGAGAAGTTTTTATTTACTATTTTGATCTGATGTTTTTTAAGCTAGGTATGCGAACTTTTGACTGTTCTCATATTACTTTAATATACATAATCATTTTACCAATAAATTAATAAAGTAAAGTGGATAAATAATAATGTATCGGGAAAATGTTTGTTGAACGTGAATGAAACATATCAGCTCGTCAAACGATTAAAGCTACGATGATAAAAAAGGGGCAAACCAATTTTTTCAGTATGCATCAATGAGGCACACTACGATTCTTTCTCGAGCACAAATCACGACGACGACGACAGCAATAACGACGACGACGGCGATGACATAACTGGTCTTTGGTTTGATTTTCATTGCACGTTGATTTTTTCCCTTTTCGTTGGAATAGTTGAATTCGTAGAGACACTAAAGATAGTATAGAGGCAATTGAATTGTATCCGTTTCATTACATGTATTTTCTGTTGTTTCATAAATATCATTCAATATTAGTTTAGTTATCTAACTATTTATTGGTAATAGTTTCTTGGTTATTATTAATATTAACATTTTGGTTGAATGACAGAGTAGTTTGTCGTGCGTTATAACATTTGCATGTTTTTACACGATTTATGCATTATCCTTATTAATCGATTTTGTCTTTAAAATTGATTCCCCAATATTAATTGATTCTACAAAATTAATCGATTCTAGAAAACCGATTCCTATCCCTATCTTGACTATCATTTCAACTTTATAAGGCTGAATTGTCAAATAAAGATATCGATAGAATGCGTGAATTAATCCACTTTTTGAATGGATCCCTTTTGAAAGATTTACTAATGTTGAATATCAACCCCGCCCGGTTAGACTGCAAGTGGGATCACGAAGAAAATGAACTAAAACAAGTTTTTTGTCTGAAACAGATTCATTTTTAGAAATATAAACAATCCCTAACAAGACCAAATTCAAAACAAATTATTATTTTTGAAAAATAACTTGTGTCTCAAAATTTTGCTTATGAAACAGCCATTTGTGTTCTAACGAAAAATGCTCCTTGAGAAATTTTACTATGACCTGTCCCCTACTTGCTGCTTAACCCTAACCTTAACGCTAGCGAAAACTCTAACATAGTCACATCATATTAAACCTTTAAAATCACGGCCTTGAAAAAATAACTCGATGACAATTACGTATATTAAAAAGTCTATCCTTATGTCATGAAAAAACGATGCATACCCGACCGTAATGATCGTCATCCGGCGAAAAGAATGAACAAATTTTTAGAAATACGAGAAGCTATGAAGTATCCTAGTCATCGATCATAAACTAAAAAGTTATTGTCAGATGCTGACCATTTAATATATCCTCTTTTTATTTTATCCAGTTCCTCCACGATCGATTTTCTTTCACGTGATTTTCCCGATCCAATTTTCCTAGTCACAAATTACCCGAAACACTAATTAAAGATTAGGGTTAGAGTTGGAGCAAGATTATATGTAAAATTGTCTTCCCGTCATTTTTTATTAGTGCTCCAAATTAGATTTAAGCATCTATTTATCGTATCTTTTCCATTGTTCATTTTCTTGTGACAGATTTGTTTTGCTGGGTTGATCAAAAAATTAACTGAAGTAAAAATCGATTAGGGGAGTGACATATATTGCATAATACAAAGGCAACCCCATTATAACGAGGACATCCAGTCCAGCATTTTTCTTCGGTATAACGGGGTCTTCGGAATAATGGGGCACGCGTGTTAACTGAAGGTTATATTACTGTATCTATTTCTTCAGATTGGAGTGAAAATACACATGTAGCCAGAAAAAAATGGGTTGCTTTATTAATAAATGCATAGAATATTACAATCACTCAATCAGTTGTCAAAAAACTACTAATTTTCATTTGCACTTTTGAATTGATAATTTTCCTATATAAATTCTTTTTTATATTGTTTAAGTCACACAAAAATTCATGCTAATATCTAAGTTACCTTCCTCTTGCATAATAAATAACATCAACTTGTTAATTAATTCAGCAACTTTAATGATTGTTAGTTTGGACTTGTTCAAGTCTGTGTCCTCCTCAACAACTTCTTTACCTTGGATTAAGGCAAGAATTTTGTCATCATCCAAAATATCTGTGCTTTGTATTATAGAATCAATAACGATATACTCACTTGCTAAAAATGAATTATTGATCATAAACAAAAAAACTTATATTGAGAATTTTAGTTGAAAGTTCATTGCTCCCCTCATGCATTCATTTCAAATCATCTTTGATCTCCTTGATATTATTGCTTAATTGTTGGACAAGAGCAAATAACTATCAATTTTGATAAATAGATGATCTTTGTTATTCTGATTTTGATAATTACCTAAATTAATAAAAATAAATATATTATTATTGTTAATTTCTAAAGATATTTCCAATTTAATATTCTCTACTTGAATGATTTCAATATTTGTATTTCTAATATTTGTGATTCTGATATTCATGTTCTCAATATTTACATTTCTGATATTGATATTCATAATTATAATGATCCTGAAATTCACAATTCTAATGTAAATAGTTGGAAAGCAAATCTAATTGTTTAACAAATAGATAAATAAGTAATATTAAATATTTTGAGATAATTTATTAAATTTTTTCTGTTAATTCATTCAAAATTTTGCTGAATATACCTTAAATTTATAATAGCATCATTTGATAAATAATTGGTAGTTTGATGTTGATATGATATATTCATATATCTGTATGAATTATCCATACATTTGCATAATCTATGTGCACCTGAAATAGATCAATAAGGAGAAGAAGGAAAAAGATGAGGAGAAGTAGCAGAAAGCTGAATAGGTAAATATAGAAATTCAACTAAGGAGAATATTGTAATTAATATACAAGCTAATTCTGATATAAGAGATTATCCCTGTAAAAAAAAATAAAAAACAAAAATCAGGAAAAAATCTGGTTTTTTAGTTCCGGAAAATCACGGGTTTTGTT